TATTTTCATCCCGGAGCTTGTCACATCTTATAATTTTTCCAAATTTGTCGCAGCAATTTCTTCTCTGAAACGGTGACAGGGAGACCAACCTAATCTCGTCACTTTGGAAGACGAGGATCCGTGGTCCGGGGATAGCAGGTTCGCCTCTGCACACTGGGGTTATCCAGGTCCGCCCCCCTTTCGGAGGACGGGTGTTTTTAGAGGTAGGGGATGGCATGCAAAAGGAGGTTTTCATTTCGGCACCGGGGCTCCCCATCCACCTCGGAGCCCAACTGGGGGACGGCCCAACACTCCCTAGGGAGGTGGTCACCGACAGGGCTACCCCGGTGCTATACGGGGCGAACGACGCCTCCCACACGGCCAGGTGTAACCGGGGAGACCCCTCCCCGTCCTGACAGTGGTTCAGCGCCCCCGCCCCTTGACCCCTCAAGCCGCTGCGCGCGGCCAGGCGCCCCAAGCGGAGACCCGCAAGGAGCACTCAACCGCAACGCGAGCGACAAGCCGCTAGACCCGTGTGGGGCCACACGGGCCCCCCAAGCCCCCGGATATCCTGGCCAATGTGGAGTGTTGGGACGCGCCGTGACTGACCCGCACGGCGCGCCCCTCAGCCACCAGGATCCGATCAACCCGGGGACGTGGGCGAGGGGGCACGGTGACCCCGATAAAACGAGGATGAGGAGTGGCGATAGGGCCGGATGCGGTAGTGCGGGTAATGTGGAGGGAGCGGGCGGGACAAGGAGCAGGAGCTCACGTACCGGCAGGGTCGCTACGCCCTGAGAGGGACAGCTTGCGCCGTCCACCCGTTACCAGAGCTGGGACCCGAGGGGGCGCTAGTCCCCTACACCGGCCAAAGCCGGTGCCCCTGCGGGAATTGAAGAGATTTGGAAGGGATTTTCCTCATACGAACGAATGGTGGCGAGCTATGCAAAATTGGTGTGAAACGCACAGTGGGGTCTAAACATCGATTTGGAAAGGCAATTTTTCATCGGAGTATGTCTGAAAGAGACTAACGTGTTTTTGCCGATGTAACTTAAAGCACAAGTGCATTAAACCGCTTGCATTCATCTGTGGCAAGAACAAGTATGTCATTCGTCAGTGACACGCGTGTTTTGCCAAACGGTCCTTGGTTCATGAAAATTCAACATGCCTGTTTTTGCCGCGCTGAAAATCACACGTCTTTCAAACTTTGCATAATCAAAGTTGGTCGGAACAACTTAAGCCCGAGTACAAAAATTTCAAACTGCAGGAAATGCTTTGGACAGTCCCTTGGACAGTTTCATCCCACACGCTGTGCGCAAGCGATTCCACTGATATGATTTGTTAATTGGTGCGGCACCTGTGCCACAAGCTGTTATAGTCAACAGAAAATCGGATCTCCTGAACATTTTAGGTTTGCAAGAAAGCGCAGCATACGTGGTTTTACCTTTGCACGGCAGAAATGCATTATGAAATAAACCATGAATTACTGTTTTTATCACGACGCCAACATTAAACCCCAACACCAATGGTGGATCAAGGGGGGTGGGGACACAGGGCCATGGCCCCTCTTGGGCCTCCAGGCGCCGGAGGGAATTATGGTCGGCCGAACAAACGCAGTTTTTATCATGCAAAACGCAACAAAATTGGACGCCTTTGGGCCACTAGGCGACCAAGAACGGTCGCAAGCGAAAGTAAAGGGCCCTTAAGCAGAGCACAATGCCTCTTTGCTGATTGAGAGGGTGATAATTGGGGGAGATTTGAAGCTCGTTACGCTGTCCAGAGGCTCTATGCTGCTGTCGGGGGCCCTATATGCTCACTTGCCAGGTCAATTCGATCTCCCAGGAGCCTTCCCCGTTGCTCTCCATCGCTCTGCACTTTCTAGGAGGGCCCTACGCCACTGTAAGGACACTATCTGCTAACTATCGGAGTCCTCTTGATCGATTACGGACCCTCCACAAAATTTTCCTCTTCACCCGAAATGCTCTATACGCTATTGCCGGGGCCTACAACCTATATGTCACCTTGCCCGGATATTGTCAGCTGCTCAGGGGCCCTTCACATTGGTCTGTTTCTTTCCGCTTGCCCGGAGGGCCCTGCGCTTTTGCTGGGCCAATACAGGGGAAACACACCGAGACACTCGATCCGAGGGGCCCCTACATTGATTTAGGGCTATTTTCTTTCCATCTGATTTGCGGGGGCTTTTCACTCTTCTCGAGACCTTTTCTGTTACCCTGTCAGGGCTCTCTTGACTGCATAGGGGCCCGCTTCAGTGGTCTCGGGTACCTCAAAGTTGCTCGGAGGACACTAGGCTGTTGTCTGGGGACCTATAACCAAGGCAGTCGTGATTGTTCAGGGCCACTAGTTCACGTGCACCAGTCTTAGATTATTCCAGTTTGCTCAGAGAACCTGCACTCTGGCCGGGACCCTACATGTTAACCTGCCGGGGCACTCTCGGTCCTTGAGGGGCCCACCACATTGGTCTTCGGTTCTTCCCTCTTGCTCTGAGGACCCTTAACTGTTGATGGGAACCTCCTTGTTGGCTTGGCGCGGCACCCTCGATCGCTCAGCTGCCGTCACCAACTGGTCTGGGGATTTACCATTTTGTAGGAGGGCCTGCGCCGTTGGCGGGACCTAAAAGTTGATTCGTTGGGGCACTCTTATCGCTCCAGGGTCCTCCATATTGGTCGTGGCTATTCTAATGAAGTCAGAAGGATCTTGCTTTGGTGCCGAAAACAAATATGCTTGCAAGCGCCAGGGGACTTCGCCCGCTCATGTGCATGGGTCTTGCTTAACTACATAACGTACATAAGCCCGAGATATACACGCTGACGATTGCCCTTGGTGCCTTAGCCTTTGAGCATCATTCGGATAAGCACCGATTAACACGCGCTCGGGTGGGGGTCAATTTGACCCCCCAAGGTTTTTCCCGAAAGGTTTCCGAGCAGCGTGGCGTAGCTGCGCCAAATTTTGCCTAGATATAGACAATTTAATAGCGGATCGTTTAGGATCGCCTAGTATCAAGAACTTAGATGTACTTTGTAAGGTCGCTGACCTATGGCCGGTCAAAGTCAGGTCACGGATTCAGCGGTCAATTTCTGGGGATTCGTTCAATCCGATGCAACAACGGAGTGTTACAGGAAGCTATACATCTCTGACATATTTTTTTGGCAACACAACAATTGAATGAACCAACTGCATTGACCTAGGGTCAGGTATGAGAGTCAGACAAAGGCTAAAAAACAACCTTTCTTATTACCCAAAGCCCCGCTGTATGAGGTAGTTTCTGGTTCTCATTTCGAACTTACTGATATCAGGAACCGCATTATACATCTTCCATGGACCTCTTAAAGGTCAGAATAGACCACTGACCTAAAATGATCCCGGTCAACATTTATTTTTTAGGCACATACTGCCCAGCGTCATCTTTGTCGCTTGTTCAAATGTAAAACTAAAAAAACAGCCTCGTATGATGTCGGTCACTATGACCTTCAAAAGATCAAACAGGGTCAGTGACCTTAAATAGGCATGAGACCTTTTGCTTAGAACAGGTATCTAGGTTATGCGGACATTGGACACCAACCTAAAGTATGACCTTATTTGACCTTATTTAACCCGAAGGTCATTATCTTGGAACTTCGAACTTAATACAAGTGAGTTCAAGTACCGGTCAACACACCCCGTAAATTTGGTGTCTCCAGCTCTCTTAGTTCCTGGGATCTCAGGAAGTGAAGGTAAAAACCGAATCCCACCCGCGCCAAGGGTATCCAACCGGCCATCCCGGCGTGTGTTAACGCTTGCGCACAATTTTCGAATGTAATTTTACACAACACCGACATAACATATGCTACTTCCGCTGGTCACTGAATCGGTGATACTCGCTATGCCTGTGCATCACGTTGTTAACACATTTTGTACGCTAGGACACCTTGTACTCTTTCATTTCAGTCAAAGCGAAAACTCTGCCTTAGTTGTCAGTCATCAGCTGATCGCATCAATTACCTGTCCACCCGCAGGAAGCCGCCTAACGCAAAACAACCCGGGAATCTAGTGTCGTGCTTGATTTTCATGGCGTTTAGCAGAAACTTTGTTCATTTTACTATATACTCCCCGAGATACGCTGCCTAAAAATGACAGGGTCCACCATGACCTGGAGAAAACCGACGTGCTTAAAGAGTGTTTCACATTTGTATGGAGCTATGAGCCTGAAAGTCATTTTGAAGACCATTCGGTGGTCCACAGTCATGCCCTCGGAACACCTAAGCCATTCCAATTTCTGAGCCACATGCCCGTGAAACTGTGCAGGCTATCTCGTGCAACCAGATCAAGGCCACTCCAGCACCCATGACGCCATAATAACGTCATCAAAATCCTACTATTGCGTTGCCCACGCGGCAATCAAGACAAACAAGAATGCAATTGTCAAGTCGTTCATATCTGGTGTTCGTGAGCATGATTCCCAGGCCGTCATAATATGTAAATGGCCGTCAATTGGCTCTCAATCAATGTTGTACAACGTACGATGACGCAATCAAACAATGATGCATTAAGGAGCATATGAATGGAGAAACTGGAGATGGAGATGGAGATGGAGAAAGAAAAAAAATGGAGAAAGAATGGAGAATGGAAAAATATGAATGGAGAAACTGCGTTGTCTGGGGCAGTCTTTTTCACCTAAGATCTACCAATAGTTAAGTGAGCTTATTTAATAATATTTGATGCTTGCCTAAACATCTTTAAATGTGGAGCATTCCCTTTAATGTATGGCCATACACAACACGCCTAGCTTTCTAGGGTTGCACAAAGTAACATGGGTTCCTGTATCACAAAAAGCATGCAGAAGAAATTTAAAATTTAATGGTTGGAATACAATGACCATTTTTGAGGAAGCGGCCCACGATGTTCCGTGCCCCTTTGATGAAATCCTAGATCCGCCACTGCCCAGCACGCATATCGTTCGCGGGGGCCCCACCTATGGTCGCTGTACGTTCCCGTCACTACAATGGTCGGAACACCACACACACCTCTGCCAGCTGTGCCTTGTTCAGCCCCGGCCGTGAGGCCAGCTTGAAGTAGCGTTTGTAGCGCCGCAGCGTGTTGATCTGCAGGTTGAAAAGGTCGATCTCGGGCTGCTCAGCCTCGTCGTCCGGCTCGTCCGAGTCCCGCCGCCGTCGCCGCGAACGCGCCGACTGTATCATGTTCTTGTGCTGATCGCAGATGTAGATGTGCTGTGCCTGCAGTGAAATCGCCAATGTCAGGAACCAGTGATACTATTTTGGCACCAGAATGTGATTGCCTGCATGTGCCCTTGTGAGCTTTTGAAGTGTCCATTTCTGAGCCCTGAGAGCAGGGGGGTGTCATCCGTATCGTTTAACACTATCAAAAAGTGGCAACATCGAGCTTGCGTGAGAATAGAGGTAGTTTGGAAGCAAAGCCTGCATGACGTCAAGTATACCATATTTGACGACGTCGGTGGTACGGAAGCCTCTCAGTTAGCCAGCTGACTGCTACACAACCCATTAGTTTGAATGGCGAGTACGTTTTGGGGGGTGTGCGGCTGGCGCTTCCCGGTTGGACTCTGAATGAATGGTCCGTGGTTTTGTCATGCAAACGCAATTCTGGAAGGGAGATTGAATCTCAGAACAGTTTAACCTCATGATTTTATATTCTTCCGTGGGGTGTACATAACTAGGGGGTTAAACGTCATGCGGCGTTTGTAGCGCATCGCGTATCGCAGCTCCTTGGCGCTTCATGTCAGAAGGTTGCGATTAGTTGCCATGACTACGCCTTGTACGAGAGATCTCCCGTGCAGTTTGTCTTGAACGATTGGTAGCATTTAAAATGCTCGGTCTGAATATTTTATTATGCATATGTGTACAACCCTTAAGTAAAAAACACTTGACTGTAGCATCACAAGGCCAATATCATAGCGTTTTACTGTACTTACCTTACTGTACTCACATCACTGTGATAAGAAGAGTGGAAGCTATTACAAATCAATGTTGCAAATGTTCATATAATCATACCTATAGACAGAACAAATTATGCAAGTTGAGCTGTTCAACTCTGCCACCAGGCACAAAAGGCACCGACATGCCTAAGGCTATCTAACGACAAACCAGCCTTGGACAAGCCCAAGGCTATCAAACGACAAGCCTGGTCATGGAATGCAATACACCACAAACGCCGCATGACGTATAACCCCGTGTTATATCATCATGCACGCAAAAATCGTACATTCTGATAAGGCTAAACTGTTCCAAGACTCACCGTTCATTCCAGAAATGTGTGCGAATAGCGAAATGACGGATAATTTCTTTTCAGTCCAACGGGGAACCGACAGGCGCACGCCACCAAAACATACCCACTATTCAAACTAATGGGTTGTGTAGCAGTCAGCTGGCTAACTGAGAGGACTCCGTGCCACTGACGTCATCAAATATCGTATACCTGACGTCATGTAGGCTTTGCTTCCAAACTACCTCTATCCTCACGCAAGCTCGACGTTGCCACTTTTTCGGACCGGACGGTTCTACCTCGTAGATAGCCTTGCCTGAGAGCAATCAGAGGTGGGCACATTTTTGGAGCCCATTTGTCACCTACCTCTGTATCCATGAACAGCATCAGCTTCCGCTGGGTGACAATCTTCTGTATGCGTTTGTTGTAGGAGGCATTGCCAGCTGGCCGTGAACATCGGCCAACCTCATCCTTCAGGCAGCACACCTGGCCATGGGAAGCACGGGAGTCCCGAGAGTCCTCATCTCCTGTGCTAAATCCATTCATTGCTGATGCTGAAAGCACACAAATATCTGAGCATGGCACGAATGTCACAAATGTCCATTCATTTTCCTTGTCTCTGCCATTTTGGTACAAGTGCATCAACTTGACAGCTTGCCTTAAGAGTGATGGTGAATCTGTGGTAGGCAAACTCCATGTTTAGCTTTCAAGAACAAGTCAGGAGAAAAAAAGAGGCTCAGTCCAGGTCATCAGGATCAGGCTGTTTTGAAAAAAGGTGGTGGGCTAAGCAGTAAAAAATTTCTATCCCTATCCACAGAATAAGCCAAAATATGTTTTTTCTCTGGATTTGGACAACTTTCTCTCAAAAATGGGGAGGGGGCACCCCAACCAGGTAGAAAACCATAGCAGACCCTGCCCTGCCTGCCCTGCCTGAATGCATGTAATGGATCTTTCAAGGCAGTATCTAACCCTCAGAAATGTGCCCTGATAGGCTGATGGTAGGCTGTATGACCACTCTACATGGTGCAAGCAATCAGTGACGTGCCTTGGCCTCTCATGGGGTCACCAAATGTTTTAAGGTAAACTCGTGTATTCTCAGGAACTCTGTACAATATTTAGGAAGTAGGTATCACCCATGATGAAAGCCATACCAAGTTCATATACCATGAATGATGGATGACTTGGCAATCTGGACTGATCATGGATGACCATAGCAATCTACAGAGGGATGACCATGGCCTTGAGATACAGATGCTAGTAACCATCTAAATAATACAGATGCTAAATAACAGATGCTAAAAAAACTGATGCTAATAACTGTCTGAAACCTTACATCCCAATAAACATCTTGTAACTAATTTGCTATTTTGGGGGGGCCATTGGTGGTGTGGTGATCAGCAGCCTTGTGCACAGGCAGGTGATTTTCAGGGACTGTCAGCTGCTACTGCCATTATTTCTTGTATTGCCCAGGAGTTACTTCCTTGGTAATACATACAGTACCATGCACCTCTTCATTTATGTCTATTTGCCTACCTGCACAAAAATAAACCAATGATCACACGCCATGGCCTTTCAAATCTTCAAATCTACAAAAGCACTTAATGATTGGCTTCATTGTCTGAAACTTGGGTGTTTCTTGGTGGTTTTTGCCTCAAGACATTTTGTTCTCCACAAATATACATCGGAAAGAATGTAAAAATTGTTCTTTGTGACCGATGGAGGCAAGCTGTTCCTGCAACTTCGACAGCATCACGCACCACACTCACGACCGAACGACGGATACTGCTTGCGGGCTACAGCCGAATCTCCATACCACATCACACATAATCTTTCCTTGCAATGCATTCAATGCCCAGGTCTGCTGCTGCTCACCAGCACATGTTTAACACACCTACCGTCCAATAACGACGCCGACGCGCTCGCACACCGCGCCCGAGACCGCACCCAAAACAACAGTGTCTCTTGACGGACCAGGGAGAAGCTCAGAGAATGTCTTGTACACGGCACGATTCAAGGTTACTTTTATTCTTTTTTAACTAACACTTTTGTTAACGTTGCATTTGAAACTATCGCAAATTGGTATTGTATAGAACGTATAGTGACATCAAACACCATCCCAAACACTCGCTTGGGCACGCGGAAAACCACGGTTCCGCGAGTCTCCGGCTCTTGGGGAGTACTCAGCATTGGAGAGAAGGCATATTTTCCACCAAGAAATCCGAGCTGAATACGTGGTGAAAATGCAAAAAGGGATCACTAAACCAAAGCATGAAGCTTTTTCTATCGATCTACAGAGCGTCGCCACAGAATCATGACCTAAGTATATAGCTAAAGGAGGGTTTCTCGTTCTCCGTTGAGCGTAACTTTTACTGGTGTATTTATGTTTATTTACGTCTTCGGAGATCTACCTTTTATTTTAGCCGGGTTTTGCCGAACAGTATTTTTTACCAAATCAATAAGGTCCTAAAAAGTAATACGAAAACCGATAAATGACCTACAGTGGCCCTGCTGTTGAAGGCTGCTGAAGACTGCTATTGTGTGCGCGCCATTTGTGTAGCTTGCCGACCTTGTTTTGAATGGGCCGCGCGAGGAGCGGTGATGGCGCGACGGGTTGGTGGTGTAGATAAAGGCAATATATAAATTTGCCTCATTGTCACACATTGCTCTGTGAGGCTGAAAATAATTCCTCCGCCCCTGCTTCCGCCCCGAGCCCCGATCACGCAGCAGCCTGACGTCCCAGGTCAGCGTTGGAGACCTTGACGTTTCCTGGTATAATGCACACCAGGAGATTTTGGACTCCGGGATTGTGACTAGGTCAAACGAAATATTTTCTACTCCATCATGATGCTACAAGAACAGCTTTTGGAAAAACTCATTTTACCTCTTTGTGTCAGGACAAAATAAAACCAGAAGCTGCAACAGCTTGAGACTTGCTGCTTCCATCAGGAGCCATGTATTGATATCTGCAAGGCCACAAATCTTGCACCCACCAGACTAAGATGCCAAATAGCAAGCAGCCTGTGTTGCCACCTAGGTATATGATAAACCGTGTATGGAAATGTGAAAAACAAAGCACGTGAGTGTTGAATGGAATCGTCTTCGAACAATGTCGGGAAATGAGAAACGATTACCAGGATCGCACAGGTCTGCAGGTTAGCAAAGCTCTCACTTCCTCAGCCCTATGCAGACCAACTCAAACTTGAACATGACTTAACCAACCATTGACAATGAACTACATTAATTGCCAAGGATGCAACGAACATTCGCAGAAAATCGCACGTCCAATCACCTGCCGCAGACGGCCACCTACCCACGTGCCACCACTGTGTCATGGCAATGCAAATAAGAAAACCACTCGCAATTCAGCGTCGGAAACGTCTCAACTATTCAGCGGTTTGCGCCCGCCTCCCAGCTCAAGTTGGAGGTTGAACATAGCAAAACTCTCCAATTGGGTTTAATGATTCGCCTCCTCGTGACTGATTCGTGAAGAGCATGAATATTCTGCTCCCGCTCATGTCTTGACAAAATTTGTAAACATTTGGAGGGAAGCTGTATAGAGATGGGCACCACGATTATGAAGGACTTATTTGTACTCATCCAGAACCGTCATGTGATTGGATTTTTGGCCACTTCCTGGTATCCGGAGTACAAAAATGTTACGGCAGCTTTGGATTTAAGACGAGTTAAATTTGTTACTTAAGAGTGTAAAATTAAAGACGGTAATTCAGACTTTACAGAAATATTGTTAAGTCGAAAAACGTTGCTATAAATAGCCAAAAAACTGTTCGGAGACAGCCATCTCACTCCAACAAAAACACCAGGACACCAGAGTTGCATGAACCCAAAACTTTGGCCCGGCAAATTAAGGAGGGGTTAATTAGCACAAAAACATCAATGAATTGCAACCTAAATTATAATATTTTGCAATGCTATCAGTTAAAGCGCATCACAATCCATAAATACCTTGCATTATCCGCCGGAGTCAGCGGAGTAACTGACTCTGATCCCTTTTGGCCGGCCTGCACGGGTCTGTCAGGTATTGTACTTGCGCTGGCTCGGTAAATCGGTTGAGTGCTGCCTTTCTCTGTTGCTCAGGTGGGACGTGCAGGGCCTCGTGTGTTGACGGGGAGTGGGAAGGTGGAGGGCATGGATGTTTAGCTGTTTTTAAAACCAGTTAGCTGGTGGAGCATGAGTAGCATGACTGTGGTGGAGCATGAGTAGCATGACTGTGGTGGAGCATGAGTAGGTGGCCGTCTGTGGCATGTTCAGTTGCGTCTTTCGTGTAGCATTTTTGTCTGGCCGTGCGCATGGTGCCCACCCTTCATTTTGGAGGGTGTATAAGCCCGGTGTGTAGCCCCCCTCCACTTGGGAGTGTATCAGCCTGATGCATAATTACCCCCTGTTTTTGAGGGTGTATACACAGAGCCTTTCATAAATTGCAGACCAATGTATATACACATGTGTTTCATAGTACAGAGCATGAGACTGTGTTGTTTCAGTGTGCCATGTTTAAAACTGATGTTTCTTTTCATTTAAAAGGTTATTTCATTCACATGAACTGCTGTATATGAAAAGTGGCACTTTGTTGAGTGCACCCATTGTGCTATTATCTCTCAAAGATAACCTAAATAAACCTGTAATGGCATGCAGCACTTGGATAATTTTGTACTCTACTATAGAAAATTTGTACTCTGCTATCAGGATTTTTTTTAATTTCCAACACTGTCTCAGGTGGTGTAGCTTTCTACATAGCTTTGTGGAGGAGGTGTGCAGAGAAATATTTTATCCCCAAGAAATAGTGCAAACCATGTTCTCCCTTATTTTAACCAAGTTTTCCTCAAAGTTGGGGAGGGACAAGCATTCTATCCAGCTAAGTAGGGAACAATGCAGTTGTTTCCAAATTAAGTACACCTAGGTCAGTAAAAACCCAGGCAGTTATTATATTGCCCCAGAATGGTCCCTCTGGGTGAGAAAGATTGTACCTTGGCTAGAATGTAGATGCACTAACAACCATGTCCCAGATGCTCCTATTTATATTGTGGCTTGCATGATATTTCAATCATAAACTCAGCATTATGTGCTCCGGAGAATGGTACAACAGGTGCACAACATTTTAAGCATCTGCTTCTACCTGCCCTTATTGGGGCTGACAGCTTTACAATAGAATTATCAATATCAACAACTTTCCACCAGTTCCACAGCTTAAAAAATGCAGTAGTTGCAAGCATAGACTTAGGAATGAAGCACTTACTTAGGAAGCTGGAAAATTTAAGAATTGCAAGCAGCCAATTAAGAATGGTCTTTGGCAATTACTGAGACATGCTAGAGCATGGTGTTTACTGTCATCTGCTGCCAAAGGATGTTCTTTAGTGCCAGCTGTGAATGTGGTGCAAATTTACTTGGGTTACTTTGTTCTCACTACAAGCTGTGGTTTTAATATTTTTGTTCTCTCCCCCAAGAGCCAAAACAAAATTTCAGATGCTTGTTGGCTTAAAACAGCAAATGGTACCAACTCCTCGGAATGAAAATGATAAGAGCAAAATCTGGTCCACAGGTCTCACAAAAATCATGAAAAGATGCTGAGCAGTGTATTTTACAGAACCTGGGAAGTGGATAGAAGGGTACAAATGGATGGAACATGAAGTAATAGTTGGCAATCACCTGGGTTCAACAATGTACTTTGGACTTATTACGACTTCATCAACAAATACATCATAAAAAAGGCGCCACGATTTATCCTGCTCTATCCTGATATAATCTGCTCCACTCCATACCTGACCAATTCCGTGATGAAAACGAGGCTTTTTTGCTTTGGTGCCTGTATTGCCGACGGACAGGAGAGCTACGCCGGCTGCAGGGTTCGTGTACTGTCGTGATGGGGAATGTTGTGAGGCATCAGCTGACGTAGTGACGTCACTGAAAATGGTTTTGCATCGATCGGGGTTCTTTTGGGCCGACTGAAGGCCATAAGCCATTTGCTAGCGATATGATGTCACTGGTATTCGACTGGGTATGTGACGTCTCTGGTTGTGAGGTTTTAGGGCTCTTTTGGATGAAATGAATGCCGTGAGGCATCACCTGACAATATGTCGCCACTGGTATTCGATTAAACATCAGGCGCAACAGGCCTTATTCCATCTTTACCTTTCGTACCTGTCTGCTGCAAGCATTTGCGTGCCGAATACAGGTTTGACCGAACCACCTGAATGTGTGACGTCACTAACCATCACTTGATACGATTGCATTTAGGCCCCACGGCCACGGTGTATCATGCTCAGTGAAGTATCACCGCATAGCGTGACGTCATTGATATTCGACTAAATATTGGTCGCAACAGGCCACGCTTCATTTTTACCTTCGTGCCTGTCTACTACAAGCATTGGCGTGCTGAATGAAAGCTACCGAATCACCTGAGTGTGTGACGTCGTTGGTCATGAGTTTCACCAGTATTTTTGGGCCCACTGAATGCCACATGGTATCAGCTAAGGACGTCACTGCTATATGTTGTGCTCGCGTTCGTCCTCGTTTTCACCCGTTCAAAAAGTCAACGTCCGTCTTCGAAAATCTCTTGTCGTTACTCCAAACACCAGCCAATCTCCAATCTCAGCAAACCGCACCACCCTCGCACCCCCCGGCCGCCATCCGCTAACACGCCCCCCGGCGCGCGCGCTTCCCGTGCCCGCCGGAACTGCTCAGCTGATCACACAACTCCCCTGCCCGCCGGAACTGCTCAGCTGAGCCCCGACCATTACATATACGACTGATTGAGTGACGTCAATGGTCTTGGGTTTTCACGGGCTCTTTGGACCGGCTGAATGCCGTGAGGCATCAGCTGACGATATGACGTCACGGATGTTTGGCTGAACATCAGGCAACAGGCCATGCTCCACCTTTCGCACCTGTCTACTGCAAATATTGGTGTGCTGAAGGAAGGATCTGCCGAATGACCTGTGTGTGTGTGTGTGTGTGTGTGTGTGTGTGTGTGTGTGTGTGTGTGTGTGTGTGTGTGTGTGTGTGTGTGTGTGTGTGTGTGTGTGACGTCACTGGTCATGAGTTTCATGGATTTTGGGGGGGCCAACTGAAGATCATAAAGCACAACCTAACGATGTGACGTCACTGGCATTCGACTGCGTGTGATGTCACTTGTCATGAGATTTTACGGCCTCTTTTGGGCCAACGAAAAACTCATACGCCATTGACCGACGATGTGACGTCACTGGTATTCGAATAAATTTCAGGCGCGACAGGCCATGCTCCACCTTTACCTTTGGTACCTGGCCATTGCAAGCATTGGCATGCGGAATGAAGGCTCTGACGAATTATTTGAGTGCGTAGTGTCATTGATCAGTGATTTGTATAGACTGTTTGAACCCACTATGTGCCATACCACATCAGCTGACCATATGACGTCACTGGTTTTCGACTAGTCATCATGCGCAACAGGCCATGCTCTATCTTTACCTTTCGTACCTGTCTACTGCAAGCACTCGCGTACTATATTAAGGCGACGCTGGATCATCTGAGTGTGTGACGTCACTAGTTATGAGTTTGTACAGGTTCACTTGGGCCGCCCAATGCAACAAAGCATCATATCCCGCGATGCATCGCATGATGATATAACGTCACTGGTATTCGACTTAACATCACGCGCAACAGGCCATGTTTCATCCTTACCTTTCGTACCTGTCTATTACAAGCATTGGCGTGCTGAATGAAGACCCTGTCGAATCTCCTGAGTATGTAATGTCACTGGTTAAGAGTTTTACGGGCTCTTTTTGGCCTCCTATATGGTATAATGCATCGGTTGACGATATGACGTCACTGGTGCTCGACTTAACATCAGGCGCAACAGGTCATGCTCCATTTTTGCATTTCGCACCTGTGGAAGTATTGGCGAGCTGAATGATGGTTCTGCCGAATCACCTGAGTGTGTGGCCATGAGTTTTACAGACCATGTTTGACTGAGTGAAAGTCATAAGGCATCAGCTAGCAATATGTCGTCACTGGTAATCCACTGAGTGTGTGACGTCACTGGTCATGAGTTTTTTACGGGTCTTTTTGGGCCGACTTAAGGCCATTAGGCATCAGATCATGATATGATATCTCTGGTATTCAGTTAAGCATCAGGTGCAACAAGCCATGTTTCATCTTTACATTTCCCATCTATCTACTGCAAGTATTCGCCCGCCACATAAAGGCTCTGCCCAATAACCTAAGCGTGTGGTGCAACTGGTCATGAGTTTGCACGGGTTTACTCGGGATGACTGAAGGACATCAAGCATCAGCTGACGATGTGCCGTCACTGGTATTCAACTAAACACCAGACGCGACAGGCCATGTTCGTCTTAGCCTTTCGTACCTGTCTATTGTAAGCAATGGCGTGCTGAAGGAAGGCTCTTTGAAATATCCTGAGTGTGTAACGTCACTGGTCATGAGTTTTTTGCGAGGCTGTTCAACGTTGACCGCATAATCAGCCATCCAGGCTGCATACAACGACCGCGCAACAGGCGGTGCATTGCTTTGTGGTATCTTGAGGGTGAAATCTATTGGAACGGCACTTTTGGTTACCGGCCGTCTGATGAAGTATTACTCTCAGTTGTATTATACACTTACTAGGATAGCTGATCAAATGCAATGCATATTCCTCGATCCTCGTAAGGCAGGAGAATCGCGGGGGACGGGATTCCTCGTACTCTCCTGACTGTTTTGACACATATGCGGCACGTTTTTTATACACCCAGACCCTATTTAGTGCAATTTAAAGGCCCGTAAAAGCAAGGACAAATTTGGCTTATTTCCCAGTCTAGGTCTAAAATTACGGATGGATTTTTTATCTCTTATTGCCAGGGTTTGTTGCACTTGACGTCTTCAAAATGCCTTCATCTCGAAGCAGCGTGTTCCCATAGCGATACACAACATTTAGGTTTTTGGCCATAATGCTGTAAAAAAATCGACCGAAAAAAACACGAAAAGACTTATCTAGCAGCATTCTTGCCGTGTTAACATAACCAAGTGTTCCGAAAAACGTCAAACAGCAATGTTTATAGGAATGAACGGGAAATTCATCTCACATGGGCTTGTCAATTTCGGCTCCCTAAAACGTCGCTTTGGAAAGAGAGTAGGGTAGGCTTTTATGCAGCATGCAAATATTTGCGAAAGTCAGGTACGAAGTATAAAGATGGAAAATAACCTGTTCTGCCTTCTATTGAGTCACTTAGCTGTGCCGTCATAAGGTCAGGTGGTACTCCACGGCGTTCATTCGACACACGCGAATTTCTATAAAATAACGACGGTGACGGCGTACGGACAGCTTTTGTGTGCAAGCCTTCACTAAAAACGGCCATTCACGCGTACCTCTGTGTTCTGGTGGTGGGCAGGTGTCAAAAGTAACGATGTATGATGGCCTGTTGCGCCTGATCTTTAATGGAATATTCGTGACGTCACATCCGCCTCTGATGCCTTGCGGCCTTCATTCGGGCCAAGAGAACCAGACTAAACGCATGTCCCGTCACGCCACACACTCCGGCGACCCGTCAGAGCCTTACCCGAAAGTACCCGAAAGCTCATGGTATACGGATACAAAAAATAAAGATGGACAATGATCTGCTGCGCCTGAAATTAGGTCGCATACCAACTACGTCACATCGTCAGCTGATAAGTTATCGCCTCCAGTCGGGGCAACAGAACCCGTAAAAACTTATGACCAGTGATGTCATACACTCCGACAACCAGAAAGAGCCTTCATTCAGCAATTCAAAACCCGTGGTATACAAGCACGAAAGGTAAAGATGGAGCATAGCCTGTTGCGCCTGATGTTAAGTCGAATGCTAGTGACGTCACATCGTAAGCTGATGCTTTACGACATTCAGTCGGCCCGGAAGAGCCCATAAAAACTCTTGACCAGTGACGTCACACACTCAGGTGATTCGGCAGAGCCTTCATTCAGCACGCCAATGCTTGTAGTAGACAGGTACGAAAGGTAAACATGGAACATGGCCTGTTGCGCGTGATGCTTCATTGAATACCAGCGATGTCATGTCATCCGGTGATATTTCACGGAATATGATGTTTCGTGATCTTCGGGGCCCAAGTGAGCTCATATTAGGTCGTGATCAGCGACGTCACATACGCAGGTGACCCGACAGTGTCTTTATTATGCATGTCAATACATGCAGTAGACAGGTACAAAAGGTAAAGATGGAACATGGTCTGTTGCGCCTGACGTTGATTCGAACACCAGTGACGTCATGTCGTCAGCTGATGCATTATGCCGCATAGAGGGTACAAAAGATCCCGCAAAAAGCTCTCGGCCAGTGACGTTACACACTCAGGAGATTCGATAGAGCCTTCATTCCGAACGCCGATGCTTGTAGAAGACGGGTAGAGAGGTACAGATGGAACATGGCCTGTTGCGTTTGATGTTAAGTCGAAAACCAGTGACGTCATATCTTCCCGTGATACACCACGGGATATGATGCTTTGTGGCCTTGGGCGGCCCGAGTGAATCTGCATAAGGTCATGACCAGTGACGTCACACGCTCAGATGATTCAGCATCACCTTGATGTAGCACGCGAATGCTTGCAGTTGATCAGCACGTCCTCGAACCTTGTTAATACGGATCCGTATTAAGAGGGGAACCGTGTTTAGCACCGATATGTGCTAAAACTGGCGGAGTTTAGCACGCATAGATATTAAACAACGAGCTTTTTTTACTTTGGTACCTGTACGGCCGACAGAGGGAAGGGCTACGCTGGCTGCAGGTTTCATGTACTGTCGTGATGGGGAAATGCTGTGAGGCGTCAGGTGACATTGTGACGTCACTGAAAATGGTTTTGCTCGATCCGGGTTCTTTTGGGCCGAC